ACGCCAACGCATTGAAAATACCAATCACAACTCCTGACAATAGTTCATGTGCTAGGCAATGGGCTTGGATCGGCTATTATGGGAATGGAACAGTTGGTGTTGGAACTTGGACTGATGGAACTCTTGTTGATTTTTCAGCTGGTCGGCCTCATAGCAGTATGCAATACTATATATAGATACTTTATTCAGGACCTGAGATAAAGTGCGCTAGATTTAAGATTAAAACACATGAATTCATACACATAACACGAAAAGGGCCGATAAAAAGCAACACGATATAATACATGTAATATATGGGTAGCACAAATAGCGTCAAGGATCCACTAGAGCTTTAAGATCAAGATCATCTACAGATAATTTAAAGGTTTCGAGACTATTGGACTCTCTCAAAACTCTGGGAAGTCGATTCCAAGTCGATTCTGGCAGTTCTTATTGGAAAAGAGTTATAAACAAACTTATTGGAGGTGACTGGAATTTCTAAAACGAAAGAACCTCTCCTTGAACTAACCGTGGGATTAACTTTGAATAAATCTCGAAAAAGAGGGATAGGTTGCCTGCCCTTTACAATTTTGAAACATTCTATTAAATTCGTGACCAAGCGGCGGTGTCTAAGAGATTTAAGATGAAAAATTTTGAGTCTATCTGTGTAACTAAAGTATGCAAATTTGGAAAAATCTATTTTCCATAGAGCTATCTTAGTATATCTCTGCTGGATTTTTTCTAGGCGAGAGATATCAACTTGTGTATGTGGAGACCAAACTATAGATGCATACTCTAGAATGGGTCTAACGTAAGTGATGAAACACTTTCTGTAAGTGTCAATTTTCGGATAACAAATTGCTTTTAGGATACGACTAGAGACAAAAGAAGCTTTACGGCAAATAATTTCAATGTGTTTTGAGAAATTTAAAGGTGGGGAAATATGGACTCCAAGATCTCTGATATAATCTTCTTCGCCAATTCTGATTAATGGTGTAGAATTTATTTTCAGCGGGAAAATAGCATTTCTGGTGGAGAAATGGCGGGATTTCGTAGACGCTAAAGCTGATTTCCAATTATGAGACCATTTTTCAACCAGATCAAGATCTGACATGGCGTCTCTTAAAGAAGCAAGCTTAGAGGCTTCATCTTTGATGGGGATTGTAAAGGTTAGTTTAGCGTCGTCAGCATAAAGCCAGATAGATGAGTCCCTAGATGAAAAATTTAATTCAGCTAAATCATTAATGTAAATTGTAAAAAGTATAGGACCCAGAATACTTCCTTGGGGTACACCGCTAGAGCAATTAAAGGAAGGGGAGAGAGAATCGTTTAGAAGAACTTTGAAAGTTCGCTGAGTAAGGAAAATCTCAACAACTGAAATCATGGAGGGGCAGATTTTATATGCATGTAGTTTGTGAATTAAGAATTTAATAGGGACAGAGTCGAAAGCTTTAGCAAAATCTAAAAACACAGCTTCAAGCTGATAGTGCTTGCGTTGTTTTTGATCCACGGCCTTAAAGAACTCTTGGTAAGCTAAAATAAGCTGGTAAGTGGTGGACTTATTTTTAAGGAAACCAAATTGATACTCGGAGATAAGTAGTGGTATATATATAGCTAAATGATTTCGTCGTACAAATTTCGTCTGAAAATGGGGTTTCATTGGGTTTTTGACTATAAAGACATAAACAGCTCATTATATCTACAATACATACGTACATTATCTACTTGCTTAATCGTTAAGATTAGCCAGAAAGAAACCAAAATCTCCGCCTACAGAAACAACAGTAAGAACAAAAAGAGAGAACAAAAATCAAAGACCAATCGACGAGTTGAGGGACGAGAAGAGCGATCTTCACGAAGAATTGTCAGTTTCCTCATGCTGATGTCCATTCATGTTCAACACGTTTATCTAATAGTCTATTCAGGGGCGACGAGAGAGTAAAATACTTGCAGCTTCAGGCGGAATTCTTAGTGGCTATTCCCCACAGTAATGCCTTTACTTTACTTTTCCAGAACGGAAATCTGTTCATTTCTGAAGCAAAGAAAGAAAAAGGAATTTCCTCAGATTGATAGAAAAATGTTTGAATTAACTATGCATTGGAAACGAATAAATGAATAAATATCGATGATTTCCTCCTTTGAAATTTATTCTTTTTGTTCATCGAAACGAACGAAGCGTTCGAACCAAGGAGTTGGACTGACCAGGAGCCTCTCAACGATTCCTGAACAGATAGCTCAAGGGATATCAGAAAAGAGACACAATGCCTTTAGCTATCTGTATCACTAGCATCACATAGATTCATCAGCTCAAAATTGCTCCTTAATTAAGACGCCCGAATCCCCCCACCCAGCTTGAGCTTTCAATCCAAATGTCTGAGATCCTCGTTGTTGGCAAGCACTTGTTGCAAAGTCTCTTTGGAAATGTCAAAAGTTACAGTCTTTATATTTATGGCTTACACAAACATACATATTGTATCTCATTCAATTTGCCATTTGCCGCGTAGATGAAATCGCGAAAGACGCGACTCTGAAATGAAATTGAAAAGAGGCAGCTTCAACTGAAACGTTTTATAGTCTTGTAGACCGTAATTGCAACCCTACTAGAAATGGATCAATTATTAGGTTGGCGGGAAAATAATGCGAATTTTTAACTTGTGCTCTTGGGAAAGTAATGGCAGACAAGCAGAGAAAACCACGATAGTAACAGAGAAGCAGAGTGTGTTTACTTACACAATCATCATATTATTTGAAAACATTTGTTCATTTGTTATCAAAAAATGACGGAACAAACATTCCTTATTCGAGCTGCTTTACTCTATGACTTTAAGCTTGGAAAATTTGCCCGTGAATCGCATAATTCTATTTCAAAGGCCTATGGCGAAGGTAGTATTAGCGAAAGCCAATGTTATCGATGGTTTGAGCGATTTCGAAATGGAAACGAGAGCCTAGAAGATGAGCATCACGAAGGACGTCCTCGAAAGCTGGATGAGTCTCAACTTTTGCAAATTATCGAAGAAGATCCCACTTGCACCACTCGGGAGTTGTCGGAAATGTTCAATTTTTATCATACCACCATTGAAGAGCATTTGCATTTGATTGGAAAGCAAAACAGATGCGGAAAATAGGTCCCACAAGAACTGACCCTCAATCACAAAATTGCCCGTATGAACACTTCTTCAATTCTGATTCAAAAATCAAAACCACATGATTTTTGGAAATCGATTATTACTTCTGATGAAACGTGGATATTATATGATAACGTTAAGCGTAAGCACCAATGGCCATCACCAAAGCAGGTCCCGGTTGTCATGTCAAAACCTGGTCCGCATGGAACGAAGTTGATGTTGTGCGTATGGTGGAACTATCGTGGATTGGTTTATTTTGAACTGCTCAAACTGGGTAAAACTGTCACATCTGAACTTTACAGTGAGCAGTTAAAGCGTGTGAATCAAGCTTCATCGAAATCTCGACATGACACTTCAAAAATTCAATTTTTGCGTGATAATGCAAAACCGCGCACGGCAAAGATGACCCTCCAACAAATCGAAGAGATGGGCTGGAAACTTCTACCTCACGCCCCATATAGCCCTGATTTGGCCCCATCCGACTATCACTTATTCAGGCCTCTAAAGCAGTTCATCCCCGATCAGCTGTTCAAGGATTTCCGGGAAGTCGAAAATTTGGTCACCAACTATTTTTCGTCAAAAAGTCCCCAGTTCTTTGAAGATGGAATTATTGAATTGAGCAAAAGATGACATAATGTCCTAAATAATAATGGAGAATACCTTTTATATTAATCCTCTTTATTTATTGTTTTTTTTAAAATAAAAATTCGGGTCAAAGAAATTCGCATTATTTTCCCGCCAACCTAATAGAATAATAATTGAAAAGAAGAAAGGCAACTCGACCTCCTCTCTTAAACGTAGATTTTCATTGGAATCTCATTGGGTGAAGCGTGTCAAATAAAGACGAATTCCTGCTTTGTCACCTATTAATATGTGAGGAATCCAGATCGACTAACCCAATCTAAAAAACTCAAAGAACACATCTTATCTTTGAATTTCGCCTTGAGATGCGTGGGCTGAGAACGCATTCCCTTTCGAATTGTTTTCTTCAATTTGGCGCTGAATTTCCGCACGATTGATAACATTTGTGAGTTCTTTCGAACTCGACTCTCAGCTCATCTTGCAACTAGCCAGCTCGATAGTTGAGTTTGGAATTCTTATGCTCAAACTCAAAATTTATGGATTACATATTTTAACCGAGCATCTCCCCTATCATCAAGTTCACAATCTTTCTTACTAAGCTTTCTCTCAAATGGTTTTAGGTATGTGAACCTTGAGACAAGTCAAATTGTTGCAAATCGTGTTCGCCAATTCTGTTGTGCATATTGTCTTAGCTTCAGACCACTTTCTCACTCGCAAAGCAAACTTGAAAACGCCCCTCCCTTCTATCCTTCCTGTTTACGCAGCCCAATTGCAGAATATCTTCAAACATACTACTTCTGAGCATATCCCCATCTTCTGAAATCTTATCTCTTCTCGGGACCTCTTAGTTTTGATTTTTTGTCTTCGATTGTTAATTTGTGTCGATCAATAAAAATATTTTCATAGTGCGTTTAAGAATTTGAAACGGTTGATTTGCCAAAAAGTTTCTATTTTGAAAATTTTTACTTTTAAAAGTATGCATGTTTTTCGTGTTTTTTAGGTTTTAAGACATGCGCTTTCTAATAGAAAAAGATTAATAGTTGTAGCGGTGCTCAAAGTGCAAAATTCGCTATTTTAGAGGGTGCGTTTAAGAATTTGAAACACACTGTAGTCTATTCAGGAGCGACGAGAGAGCAAAATACTTGCCGCTTCAGGCGGAATTCTGGGCTTTTGGGAAAACTTTTAATATTAGATTTTGAACAAAGGATTCAGAGATAAAGAAAAAGATAATGTGCAGTTGTGTGTTTTCAGAAGAATGAATAAGATGGGATTAATTGGTTTTCGTCCGCAGAAAAGAACGAAAAGCATTTATCAGAATTGAGAGCGACTTTTGCAGATAAGACCCAACTGGTAGAAAGGAGCATAGACCCGCCATTTCCCATCGTAGCTCCCAAGCTGAAATGAGTTCATTTCTCATCGAAATCCTTTGATATAACACTTTGCCTTATTTCACAAAAAGAAATCTCCTCAAATTGATCGAAATATTTTGGGATTAATTATGCATTGGAAATTGGAATAAATATCGATGATTTCACGTTGAAAATCTCACATAAGTGTGGGTGTACAAATACGGCTCCCCTTCATCCCAATTCGTGAAATCCACCGAACTTCCATCCGTCCATTCAAAAGCATTTTCTTTGTTCCAATTTCTCTGAATAAAGAAATTTTTATGTTTAGACATTGATATTTCGATCCGATTTTCCTTTTTTCTTCTTGAAATTCTTCTAGTTACCCAATTGAAACCATTATTTCAATCAAAGAACTATTGGCCAAAATAAGAAAAATTCAACCTTCAGTCCGATCCAGAACACCCAATCTGAAGTAACAGTTTTCCCTGAAATAAATATCGATTGTTTTTGGTTTATGAAACATAAATTTCTACGAAAATCATGAATTTTCAGAATTAAATCATTTCGATTTCTTACCGAGTTTCCGAACAAAATCGTTTTCTTCCTGACTGTGAATTGTGACCAAATGGCCCTTTTGACTTGCACAATATGCCACGGCTTCATCGAATCTCATATTTTGATCGAAAGCCTTGAGATGAAGATAATGCTCGTTCACAACATCCACCAAACCTTGTACCAAGAAGCGGTTTTTGCCAAATACGACCATCCATCCCGATACAGATCCAAGAGATTCATGGTTCGATTTCTGAATTTCTTCGGAAAACATTAGTCCAGATCCTTTAGACAAATTCTCAATCTATTTCCTTAAAAAAACCCATAAATCTGCCCGCAACCTCTTGATTTCGGCCATTTTGTTTTCTCTTTTAAATTGTTAAGAGGGGAGTTGATTGGATTGACTGAAATGGGTGTTTTCAAAAAAAACTGTTTTCTCAAGTCGCAGTCCACAAGAGATACCAAATAGACTCACATTTGGGTTTCCGGGTCAGAGGTCTTGCTCTGCAACGCGTTGATTTTCCCTTCAAGCTCTCGAATCTTGGCTTTTCCGTCTCTTGCTTCCGTATTTTGGGTTCTTCTGAAAAAAGTTCGGATTTTTACTATATATTGAGCTTGTCAAAAAGAAAATTAGTACAATTGTGCTTCGAGGTCGTCATTCTTCCTTTTCGTCTCGGTGATTTTCCCCATTAAATTCGCCTCGATTTGAGCCATTTCTGCTGTCAATCGACTCATCTCGACGTCTTTGTCCCTCGTTTCGTTCCGCTCTCTTGCGCTGAATACTCAAATTACCCACTACTCAAAATCCAAAAAAGATGAGCTTGAATTCTTGATTTTTGATTTCACCCACATTTCCCTCTCGAGTCCGCTGATTTTTCCTTGGGCCTCGACGATTTCTTGTTGGGTTTGATTCCTGAAAAGTCTTGTCATTGAGACACTCAAGCCTATTTCTTGTTTATTCTATCAATTTCGCTCTTCTCCCAAAAAACCAACAGATTTCTTTGACAAGATCTCAAGAGAACGGTGTCCGGACAATCTTTTTTACAGCTGAAATCTAAGATCATCGAAAAATCTGTTTCTGACCAACTTCAAAGTACTACGATCACCAGACAGAATTTCATCTCGATCATTCGGAGATCTGAATGGTTAAAAACATAACTATTTAAAGGGAAAAGAATACGTGGATTGATCCAATTGATTGCTTTGTTGAATCGACGAAGAAGTTTGATGGAAAAGGAGGAGAATCGTGATGAATAGACCGACGGCCATCACACCCATTCTGCTGAATTGGTTGATTAGTTTTGAATTCGGGGAAATGGGAAGAACGAATGGAGGGACGATCCGATAAAAAATTGTTTTTTTACGGAAAAGAGCTTTTGAGAGCTCTGAAATCGTTTAGGAAAGCGATTGACTCATTAAGCCGTTGAAAGAATCGCTTCGAATAGAACTTGTGCAAAAAAAGTAGCATTTCGGGAAAAAGAAAGCGTCAGTTCGTGGGAAGTTGGTGAGTGAGAAAACGCGGCGATATCAGGAGACCACTTTCGGGGAAAGACAACTGAACCGACCGTTCTGATCAAATCGCCACAATTGTTCCTCAAAGCTATCTATCTCCCCCGGCGTAAACAGTTTTTCCTAGAGCCTTTTTGACTTCTCCAACTTCAAAATTCAAAGCTCCTCGAGCTGTCATCATTGTTGATTGTTGTTTTGGTTGTTCTATGTTTTTTAAGTTGTTTTGTTTTAAAGCAGAGCGTTTTTATAAAAAGCATAGCTAAACAAAACTTCTCTAAAACGGAGACTGCTCAAGGCATTAAAACCTAGAAAAAGAGAAAAGACAATCAGCTACCAGACTCGAACCTGAGAGCCCCCGCTTTGCCTCCTGGAACCCGCTGAAATTAAAGGAAAAGGCTACTAAATAAGCAGAATTGATGAGAAAATCAAACAAGAAATTTGTTGCCAGGCAAATACGGATTTCTTACCAAATAAGGAGAAAGGAGGGGAATGCCCGATTCGTTTAGTCATCGCTCGTCAACCAAAAACAATCAATATTCATTTCAGCGAAAACTGAAAACGAAAACTGCTACAAAACAACAATGATTTGGGGCAAGGAATAGAATGAGGACACTCGGATTTCCTCAATAATTTACCAATATTCAGACTACCAGCATTAGAGAACTTTTACTAGTGGCTATTCCCCACAGTGATGCCTTTTTCCGTCATTTTCGAAATGGCACACTCTTTGTGAAAAGTAATTCGTTTGACTGATAGTTCTTTGATAGAACGTAAAGTCGATTCTCGTTGATCTCTATTATAAAGGTTTTTATTTTTTCATTTTCTGCCATGGCGTCATGAAATCAGGGGAAAGTGACAAAATTTTAAGAATCTATTCGCCCAAAATATTCACTTTGGCACCACAACAACCGCCGCTAGAAATTCTGAGAAAAATCGCGCTGAACTTTTTTTGGAACACCCTATATATATTAATTTTGTTTATGTGTATTTTTCCAGGCTGCCGCGATTGATGCGACATTTGAGAGCTTGAAACTGTCATCTTTGCTGCCAACCAATCAGGAGAAATTGGACTTGGATTGATGCATGAGCCTGCTTTCTGCTTTCGATAAATTTACCGGGCTGGTGTGCTACTTTGTGTATTCTCAATTTTTAATTTGCAGGCTTCACGTGAAAAAGCAACGATTTTGTGCTACATTCGCTTTCTAAAGACACTACGCTTTCAGTTTACCAGGTATTCTTTTGGATTTAATCGCTGGTTAGTTCTTTGAGTAGTTCTGAAGTTGATGATTCGGATCGTGTGAAATCTTTTATTGAAGCAGTACACGAGCAAATTTCACTGCGCCTTCAAGTAAGTGTAGCTTTTTTACGGACTTCAAGGCTTGTTCGGTATGCAGCAAACATTCGTTTACTTCGCGTGGCTCAAATTTTTGACCCGCGCCTCCTCCAGTTAATGATGCACCTGGGACTTTTGACAGAGCGTGAAATGGAAGGACTAAAAATCGATCTCGAAACATTCATTTCCGGTAGAAGTGGAATATAATTTTAAATAATTTATACTTTTTAGTGCTGTATCCTTCATCTTTCGTAAGTCGACCCTCGTTTTCACCGCCCTGTTCGCCACAAGATCCAGTTACTCTTCTACTCAAAGGCGTCTCTTCTTGTCTCCACGGATCTCTTCACAAGAATCTCATACTCCTCAGTCATTATTGCTGGCTGGTATTATCGGGGTCATTACTGTTGGTCCAATAGGTTATTTTTATTTTCTTAAATTAGGCTGATGTATCTGCATATCTAAAATTTTGTGCTTCCACGGAAATGGAAACGAGTTTTGAAGACGATCCGGATTTCGCATACAATTTTTGGAATATGCATGCAGAATTTCACGAACTCATGAAGTAAGCTTGTTTTAGCTTTCGTTTGTTTTAGCTTACTATAAAAGTTTAGAATCGCACATTTTTTGACGCGTGTCCACCTAACATCGGCCTCAGTGGAGCATCTATTTTCAAAAGCCGGAGCTCTTTATGGCGACTCGCGCAGATCTCGATTATCCACAGCTAAGGCTGAAATGTTTCTGGTGATCGGTTTGGAAGCGCTTCAAAAAGAAAAGTAGAGCATCATAAACTTAAACTTTTGTTCACCATCTAATAAGTATAGGAATGTGATGCCCAATTTGGAATGTGAAGAAGAAGTGCAAGACTTATACAATTCTTTTCTTAAACGATAGGGTTTTCCTTCAATTTCTGTGGTGATTTAGTGTGCCTTATTCGAATTGATGAGTTTTTAGTTATGTTATCTTTAAACGCTTTTACTTTTGTTATTTCTAGGCGTTTTGTTTTGTTTTTGTTATCAGCTCAGTTAACAGAAATAAATTAAACATTCATTTTTGCATAAAGAGCACAAAAGTGTAAAGAGAAAAATTTCCTGGACACAACGGAGGTGTAGAGTATAATTTTTACAGCCTTTCCCGGACATATGCTGATTTAAAATGCAAAATTGCCTTTCCCTTTTTCTCACTCCCCAAAATCTGGGCTTTCTCGCGGCCGAAAAAAGGACCAAAACACGACCTCGGAATTTCGAAACAAAAAATAGCCTATCGGATAGATTTTTGGACGCTGCTTTCAAATCTGCAAACAGATTTTCGCTAACTCCTCCCAATCGCGAGATATTGGCGAGGTTTAGTTAGTTTTGGTTTTGGTTTTGTTTTGGTTTTTTTTTTGTTTTGGTTAGTTTTGGTTTGGCTTTGTTATGGTTTTGGTCTTGGTTTTGGTTAAGTTTTGTTTTCCGAAGTCTACTTTATAGTCAAAAGCCGAATGAAATCCCATTCTCAGACGAAATATGTTTGGTGAAATCATTTAGCTATGTACATATCACTGCATCATACTCTTTTAACAACTTTTTTGCAAAATTTGCCATTCTTGAAGTATCCCGAATCGACGCTTTGCTCGCCTAGTTTGTGCAATTCGATTTGATAACTAAATGTTGCACGTTAGTCAAGAACGGAGATACACTTCCACTAGTTGATCTCTCGATGTGTCAACCCACTTGAATCCGGAAGCTCGGAACTAATTTTCTCCGGCACATACGTCAAAATGATGCTGAATGATTTGAGTCGGATCTAGATAGATTCTCTCCCAACCTTCAAAAATCGGGTTTTGGGGATTATCCTTCAGTGTTTGGCGAACTCTGGCTTCCATCTTCGCGCCGGGTCCTTGATTCAACTGATGTCAAAATGAGCATGTCAAGAATAATTTCACTGACCGGTCCATCTTGGGAGAAAATGTTGTGGACCTTTCCGGGGCCTCCTTTGGCTCTCTGTCAAATGTGACCCATTTGCTCTCCGGGACGTTTGTGTGGACTTGATGGAAGTCTGTGCAACTGTTGGCAAAAAAGAGACTGCACCCACTATGAAGAGGTACCCGAAATCATCCGCTCGATGCCACCAAAAGAGTTTTTGGTACACGAACACCGAGGAGACGTCACTGTTTGGCGCGATGGGACAATCACTTCACAAGACTCGATCGCGTGCCCAGCCGAAGACATCTGTGCCTTAGCGACTTGTTTGGTGTGCTGGACAGCGTATTTCACGCCGAGGTGCGCTGTCGCGCGAATCGGTGACACGATGATTTGAGTGGTTTTGGGCGTGTTGAGCCTCGTGGGCATGTTTTGACGATCAAAAAGCTGAGAAGATATCGACGACGACGAACGTGGGCCACCCCAAGAAATTTGATGAGAATGTCCGCCTTCTTTCTGCTCCCGCGTGTGGTTGGAGGGTGGGGGCAAATCGTGGCTTTCCACGCACAAAGTCGGCAGTGTCAAGTACATCGTAACGGGATTGTATCGTGCACATTCGACGAAACGACAATGATGACCTTACGAGGACATGAAGAGGCGTGTATTGTGCTCAGAGATCACGAGGACCGACCCGTGACGGCTTTAAGAGTTTTTGCGACGCCGTACTATCGTTGTTCGCCTACTCGACGAGACTACACTCGGAACGTCATGCTGAAAACGATCTACTCGAGAAGATGCGGTGGAATGGGAGAGTGCACGGGGATACGATATTCGAAAGTTGAGCCAGAAACGGAACTGGACGAGTTCAAGGACATGAACGGCGAGTTGTATTCTTCTTGGTCTTTGAAATTATCGAGTTGTATCCTTCTTTGCCAGTGTATTGTGATCCAGAAAGCAATGAACTACTATTTCTTGTTGTCTGTCTGACACTACACATATTGATCGTGATTCTGTCGATATCCGGGATCGTAGCTGTGTCGTCGTGGTTAAACGCTTTAAAATCGGCTCGTTTTGCCGAATTGATCATTTTATTGAAAACTGGCAGAGGGCTTCGTCAATACGTGCTTCTAAATGATGTCTTTCCGAAGAAACTTCATTCAGTAGAGGTCTACTTTAGCCGCGTGGCGCTAATCGATGGAGAATACTCACTTGCTGACAATCTCTGTCCTTTTCTCAATACAATTACTGCAAATTACAATTTACAAGTCCGAGTTTTCGTTCCGAAACACCATTGAGAAAAGTTCCCGTGCTCTGAGACAATTTGTCGTTATTTTCTGCGCAAAATCTCTTGCGCTAGTTTTGGTTTATGGCTTTTTTCTTGGATCCATCAAATAATCCATTAAATTGTACTCATAAAATGTGACTTATGGCAACACTCGATTCTGTTGCCGATCTTATGCATCAATTCACCAGTAGTTTTTAAGAGGGTCTTTACAAAGGCGTTTCCACAAGTGAGCAGAAATTCGAGATGTATTCGTAGATTCGGAATTTGGAGTTTATGACTGACTTTCTCTCCGAAAATATTCGGTCAGGTAAGAAAATTAAGGTCCCCGGATCGTTGAGCAAGTTTTATGAGAGGTTTTCAAGAAACGAGTTACAAACAATTGTCTTCAACTATTAGGTACGGAAAAAATTAATGTCGTATTTTTTCACTAAAGTTCAAACGTTCATAAAGTTTTTATTTCAAAAGCAATTTAATCAAAGTAAAAACCAGAAGAATCTATACATGCTTGCCAAGGTTTGGGTAACTTTTCAATTCCTAAAGCGTAGAACGCGGGTTCCCTTGAATCGATAAACTCCTTGATGCCATTTTTGACCTCCCCTTGAGTGACAAAGCATTTCTCCAATAAGAAGTGATCGAGGAACTTGAAAAAGTGGAAATCCGTAGGCGACAAATCAGGAGAATATGGAGCATGAGGGAGGACTTCAATGTGCAGCTCGTTCAATTTTCGAAGAGTCTTCAGTGAACAATGCGGGCGAGCGTTGTCTTGCAATAGGATGGGACCCTTCCGATTCACTAGAGCTGGATCGATCCTTCGAAGTTTTTCATACATTTTGTTTATTTCGTGAATATAATGATCAGAATTCATCGTTTTTCCGTTTGGTAGAATTGAATAATGGATCAGACCTTTCTGTGACCACCAAACACTGAGAAGAAGCTTCTTTGGGTGTAGAACAAGCCGAGGAAGAACGATGAGGACGAGGACGACGTAGCTCACGTTTGTAGCTCACGATGAGATCTAGTGGGGGATTTGAGTGTTGAGCTTCTGCAAAAGCTTGGAAACCGTAAAATGGTCACCAACTCGGCTCGGCGGGATGCACTACTATTAGAGAACTAAGATCTACATTTCTGCTTTTTCTTTTTATCTTTGTTTTCTATCAACTATTTAAACATAAAGCTTTATTGAGATATAATATTAGTTTGAGATATCACAGTTCATTATCACAATTCTATTATGCCGTTTCAATGACCTTTTGATGGATGAACAGTCACGGTGATCGAATTTCTTGTCCTTACCGGCTTTTCTTTCGGTTTTCGGAGGAAAAGTGCGGTGATTAAACTGAAATGAAAAGATTTCTACTACAATAAACATTGTAAGTGTTAAAATGAGCGTAATCTACAGTAAATGTGATTTTGTGATACCTCAAAACAAGGTTGAAGAGAAAAGCGTGGCTGAAATCACGAACAGACATCAACATATTGGCAACATCCCAGTTGAAAAATAAATTCGAAACGTTTCCAACGAAATAGAAACCAATAGTGTAAGTGAACGTAACCAGAGAACTGATGATCATCTAAAGATCATGATGATCAAGAGAAATAAAGTCTTCACCAACTTGTGTCATCAACAACATTTCTGCTCGGCTGGCGGGGCCGCTGTGTTTTAGCTAAAAATGTTTTGAATCAAAAATTGCATTGCCAGTTTTCTGGTGCAGTTGGCTTGGTTTTGCCTCAATCGTGCCTGTATATAATCTTGATTGCTTTCCTATTTCAACCTGGCTTCAGCCTGTCTGGTATTGATTCCAAAGATGTTCTAGACGGGTTCTAAAAGCCACATCCTGGCCTGGCCTTTGCGCTTGCCTAATCTGGCCTTACTGCAGGCCTTACTGCAGGCAAAGATTCCTGAGTTTCCAGGAATCTTTGCTTTTGGAACTTGATGAACTTTTGACGGAGATAAGGCCAAAACCAGAACAAAACCATTTCCCAATTCCCCCAAGTACGTATTAAAGCCAGCTTTTTGATCTCTGCGTTTTTATGGTTTTCTCAACTTCCAATCCTAATTCATCCGTTTGATTGAGTTTTCGGATTTCTTCTAGGAATTGAATTATCGAAGATCGGGCTCTAAAATGAGTCAAGGAAATGTACTTCAAAAGTTTTTTTAGTCAAAACTTCTAACAATCGAAAATTGAGTCAAATCGGAACAATTACGAGTACTTTCCATCCCCACCAAGACAAACCTTTTTCATTTTGCGCCTGATAACAAAATCGAGGGCACAAGTGAGAAAATATGGAGCGTAAACGACGAATGGATCGTAAAAGTACATCCAGCCACTATAAAGTTGTTCTTGGCAGAGTTCACCCAAATAACCGATCCCGAATCGAAGGGCGTACGGTATGAGAACTTGGAGATAAGGCAATCGCATTGAGTATCGGAAATAGGCGCCGTCAAAAGCAAGAGCAAAAAAACGACTGAATCGGTGAAATTGTTAACCGATCAGATGGGTTTCCGCCATTTAAAGATAATGTAAAAGTTACAGCTTTCTCAGAGTAAAACTCTAAACCCGACCCATTTACCGTACTCTTTGCTTTCTTTTCCTGCTCTTAAGGCTTGCAAAAGCGTATTGAAGCTGGCTCTGGGGGTGACTATTTTGCGCCAAATTTATGCAAGTTATGCAAGTTGGGGAAAAGACCCAGTTCCGCAAAAAATTTAGCGCAAAGTAGGCTGGCTGGCTTTGGTTTCCAATTAGATCGGTGTCAAGTTCGAATACCATTTTTCTTGTAAACTAGATCCAATAACCGTAAATAGAATCGAGTAACCGCATGACCAACCTCAACGAGATGCAAAATTGACAATATTGAGACATATCGCTGACACCATAACGAATAATATAAAACGAGTTGATTTGTGAAAGCCAAAGAACCATTTGATAAGGGCAGCTAAACCTTAGGTTGAGTACTTGATATTGCATAGTAAAATTTATTACATTTGAAAGGACAACTCATGATTTACTTACTGAAACTCTGGCATCACTGAGCAATAACAAGAAATTGTGACCGTCACGGCATTAAGAAACTTATTAAAGTTTTCAGCGATTGCAAGTAGTCTGAAGGAGAGAAATCCTTTAAACAAGAGAATCTTTACCTGATGGGAAGTGTTAATTTATCGTTGGTCGCAGCGGAATAGATGGCTAAAGGAGTTGTGAAGAGGGAAAGCACCAATGACTGAAGACTTTAGATCGATTAGAAAAAAAAACATTTCCCTTTAAAACTATCCGTTTTACGGTCAGATCGATTAAGAGTTCACCATTTTTGCAGAATCTCAAAGAAGCCAGGTGGCAATTCAGCCAAAAAGGATTTTTAAAACAAAAATCTTTTCACGAAGAAGCATTTCTAGGGTAAAAATCGGCAAAATTTTCAAATTTGAGGTTCATTTTTATTATAAAACCTGTCATTGATCTTGATACTGGTGTGCATCTTGATGAAAGCTGGCTGTTAAAACCTAAGCCAACACTAACACTAAACCCAGCAAGGCCTAATTTTCACAGCTTGGTCGACTCTTCTTTTGAAAGTTATGGACTGGCTAGACAGAGTCAATTTCTAGAAATGTCTGAAAGCTTTCTTGTCTAAACATGTTAGAAGCTGGACAATTTCTCTGTCAAAGACCTTACCACAGCTGTCGCATTCTCCAGTACTGTCAGAAAATTCTCGACAAAGTTGTGCCGAATACCAATCGGTTTTTTCAGCAAGCACCACCCAACTTCCATAAAAAAGTACATCAAAAAGGAATAAATGCCTGAAATTTGTTTTGCTTTGTAATTTTTCAATTTCGACTTACCCATCAAGACAAATCCTATCAACAAAATGAGGATGATATCTTGAAATTTTTCCCATATTCTTAGCAAGACCATTTCCACAATTGCGGAATGCCTTTTTTTACAATTTCCCGCATTTTTGAGATTGAAAATTTGGTAATTCTCGCGAGAATTCAATTTTCGTCTCCCACTCGTCTCTGATTGGTCTACTGCTTTGCATTGCGGAAAAAAACTGGTAACTGTAAACTTACGTTTGTCTTGAATCAAACATCTGAACTTAAATGCAGCCAAACTCCCTTTTTCGACCGCTTTTTTGACTTGAGCATGATCATCGAACCTTTCTTCCATGATAAACTGTTTCAGGAATTGAAAGAAAATGTAATTTGACGTAAGTCAGGAGAGTAAGGCGTATCAGTAAGCGACTTCCAGTCCAGCTCGTGAATCTTTTGTGAGTGACTTTTGCAGTCTGGGGTTTCGTGCAAAAACTAAATCTTTGATGGATTAAACCCTAATTTCTTGAGTTTCGTTAACTCCCATTATTTGTTCCGAGCAAGGATGACTGATGCAGATGCATGCCTGGTTCTCTAGGTTTAGCATTTCCTAATGCACCAATTCTTTCGAATTCCACCATAAACAAAGCATGATCTTCGCGTTCTTGTTGAATCGCATAATTCTATTTCAAAGGCCCATGGCGAAGGCAGTATTGGCGAAAGCCAATGTCATCGATGGTTTGAGCGCTTTCGACGTGGAAACGAGAGCCTAGAAGGTGAGCATCACAAAGGACGTCATCGAAGCTGGCTGAGTCTCAACTTTTGCAAATTATCGGAGAAGATCCCACTTGCACCACTCGGGAGTTGTCAGAAATGTTCAAAGTTCATCATAGGAAAATGGTCGCATAGAACATCACGTGACAAATGAATGAGGAATTTCGAATGAAATCCATCTTGATTGTATTCCAAATTCCAGATCTAATAGTCTATTCAGGAGCGACGAGAGAGCAAAATAATTGCAGCTTCAGGCGAAATTCTGGGTTTTTGGGAAAACTTTTTATATGAGATTTTGAACAAACAATTCAGAAATAAAGAAACAGATAATGTGCAGTTGTGTGTTTTCAGAAGATTGAGTAAAATGGGATTTATTGGTTTTTGTCCACAGAAAAGAACACAAAGCATTTATCAGAATTTTGCATAGAAAACGAAAGTTATTGTTAGGAGGTCGCCTCCCCATTTCCCATTGGGGCTCCAAAGCTGAAATGTGTTCATTTCTGATGGAAATCTTTTGATAAAACACTTTGCGTAATTTCACAAAAAGAAATTTCCTCAGATTGATCGAAAAATTTTAAGATTAATTATGCATTGGAAATTGGAACAAATTTCTATGATTTCACGCTGAAAATCTCACACAAGCGTGGGTGTTCGAATCCGAAAACGAAACTGCAACCACCCAATTCGTGAATTGCACAGGACTCCGATCCGTCCATTCAAAAGCATTTTCTTTGTTCGGATTTCTCTGAATAAAGCAATTTTTATGTTTAAACATTGATATTTCGATCCAATTTTCCTTTATTCTTATTGAAATTACTCTAGTTTTCCAATCAATACCATTATTTCTATTAAAGAGTTTTACTGTTTATATCTCAACCAAATTTTTTCCATTTTAAAATTATTCTAGTTTTTCAATTCAAATAAAATTTTTATCAATTTCTATCATCTTCTGTCAAATCAGTGAAGCGAATCATTTTTGAATGGCTGAAAGAATCATTACTTTCTATATACTTATTGATGTCTTTCCATGAGAAAAATTAAACCTTCATTCCGATCCAGAACCGCCTCTCCGAATGAACAGTTTTCGCTGAAGTAAATATCAATTGTTTTTGGTTTATAAAGCAAAAAATTTCTACGGAAATCATGAATTTTCAGAATTGAATCATTTCGATTTCTTACCGAGTTTCCAAACAAAATCGTTCTCTTCCTTACTGTCAATTGAGAATAAATGGCTCTTTCGAGAAAAGTCTAGTCTCAAATTTATTGAGTTCGGTCAATCTGCATAATCAGAAAACTTCTCAATAAGGGAATCCCAGTAAATTCTCAGCTAATTCCTGTAAATCTTATTCATCATATCGAATTGGAGGGGTATTTCAATCAATGAATCGAATGGGCGACAACAACAATCGGAAACGGAGACAGTGCAGTGATAAATCAGACATTTTTTGTGTTTATGTTAGAGAGAAGTAAAATCGGAATAACCGAATAGTTTTTGGAACTTCTTACAAAACTTTAAATGCTTATTACATTTGAAAGAGTGGCCCTGTAGCAAAAGAGGAAAGTAGCATCAAGATGATAGGTAATTCTCTCCAAAGCTGGAATGTGTTCATTTCTGATGGGAGAACAACAGCTCCATACCAGCGATGGAAAATGGTCGGCCTTTGGTCCTAACCACCAGACTCTTTTTATCTGCAAAAGGAGCTTTCAATTCTGATAAATGTCTTATGTTCCTTTCTGTGGACAGAAACCATTAAATCGCATTTTACTCGTTTTTCTGAAAGCACACACCGCGCACAGTCTTTTTCTTTATTTCTGAATTGTTTGTTCAAAATCTCATAAAAAGTTTTCCCAAAAACCCGGAATTCCGCCTGAAGCTGCAAGTATTTTGCTCTCTCGTCGCTCCTGGATAGACCATTATTGGGTTATTTGTGCCTTGTTTTGCTAACCTCAAAATATTTCTAATAAAAGCACTGTAATTTCACAGACAGAGATTTAATGCAAGGAAAGCATGCACTTGAGATCATTGACCTCTGGAAAGAAACGAGCACAGAAATAAATAACAGAAAAGTTCTTAGGACAATTCACAAGAAGCATACTAATTTTAAAAAAGTCACTCGACACGATTGCACGTTTCTGTACAGTGCAGATCTTTTTGGGATGCTAGAATAATCAAAGTGTAAAAGAATGTTTGATTAGAATTAAAATGATACTTACCTGTGAATGGTAGTTAGTAATAAGATCTCCTGGAATGATTCTCGTCCATGGATGGTGATCAGCCAATCCTTCATAATCCATTTTTGAACCCGACACAATTTTCGGAATCAAGAAAACAAAATCCTTCTTCGCGACTGAGATTCCGATGAAACGACCGGTCATATCGAAAATACCAGAACCCGAATCACCATAGCCTCCATGCAAATTACCAAGAAAATGGGCAACTAAAAATAACTGAATTATTAAAGCAAATGTTAGTAAAATACAGTTAAAAAATAATATATAATTATTATAATATAAACAGGCCATTATTGAAGAACAGGCCCCCACTGCAAGTTGAGGGCTCTATTTTCAGGCTTTCTTGCTTTTCTTGCTTTCCTATAAGATAACTTTAAACCCTTAGAAATGGTGATTCTAAGGGGTTCTTATACGCTATATGTTATACGATAAAAGTTGGCCCCACCCAAATACCATGCTTAATCACTAAAATCTATTTGAAAACTTAAAACATACCTCAATCCTCATATCCGGCTCTATTGTACTAGATGAGCTTTTCATCTTTCTCGAATGACGAATGATCACCATGTTGACACGATACCGCATGCTTTTTGTCGAAAACCACCACGCATCTGTGCGCTTGTTCGTCCGGCTTCGAAGTTTTGAAAAGCCAACTCTCATAACGTTTGGTTTTCGCTTTATCTATTGCAGTCAATCTAAAGAAATACTAATCAGAATTAAAGTAAACTACAAACCGAATAGAATAGAATATAAGAGCAATTGCTCATTGTGAAAGAGGCCAATGAGAAAGAGCCAAAAAAGAGGTCAATGAGAAAATTGCTGAAGGAATAATAACCAAATCACTTTTTGAATTACAATTTGGCATTGTGAAATAAGCGGACCTTTAACCTAAATTAAATTAAAATTATTTGGAAGTAAGATTAAAGTATCTAGGAAGAAATTAAATAAGCTAATGTTTTGTATGCCTTTATAGGCGAAATAGCCAAAAAAAGAGGCACAATTTTGAGTGGGGGATGGGGTAAGCCAGTGTCGCCGTCTTGAAAAATTGCTTAAATGATTTTGTATGCCTTTATGACGAAAAAAAGGTAAAATAATGAGATGAAGAAAGAGGAGTTGAGCTAGTATCAACAAAATAAACAAACGTTTAAAAAGGTCTAAGCTTTAACGCCGAAAATTTCTCAAGATGCACTCTCACATTTTTATTGAAAAAAAGTAGGCCTTAATTATTTAGCTGAATATCTTTAACTTACTTCTAGTGGTTTAAAAAAGTTCGGTAGAGCAAGTATTTTATTTTTCGCGTGCTCTGGAATTAGCCAATCTTATATTTTTGCGCCTTTCTATTTCTGTCACCCTTTCTCTTCTCTGGTGCAAAAACCATACTGTCCCTCCATAAAGCGCCTAGTTATATGCCTGTCTTGTATTCGAACCCTTTTCTTCCAAAAATTATTCCGAAAAATCGTTCTTTTGGTTTACGAGGACTCCTTCCCGCCTCAATCTTGCTCTTTTTAACATTTTATCTACTTAAATTCGTTTTTAATTTTGTTTTCAGAGAATGTCTGTTCAACCAGTCAACCCAAAGCCGTTCCTCAAGGGGCTCGCCTGAAAGCCGGTTGTGTGCAGATTGAAGTGGGGAATGGAATATCGAGGCGTCCTCATCTCGGTCGACGGTTACATGAATGTCCAGGTGGGGTTGTCTTTGTGTAAAGTTTTTATGGAGTAGCTTAAAGCTAGTTTGGAGAGGTACGTTCTGAATTTTGTTAGTTTTTATGTCGCTTGTGAAAAGTCAGATACATGGCGAGTAAGCTTGCTTAGGCCTAGGCATTCACAAATAAATTTTTTTTATCTTTTAGATGGCTAACGCAGAGGAATACATTGATGGAACAAACACTGGAGCTTTGGGAGAAATTTTAATAAGGTGCTTAATGTGACTTTTGTCTAATTTGTTTAAATCTCGGTGCAACAACATCCTCTACATCGGAGGCGCCGAAGACTCGGAAAGTTGATCGCCTGGTTTTCATTATTTATCATTTTGCTAACTTGTTGAGTGTGTAACGTTATGAGTGTGTATCTCTTTTGTATATTTATGAATAAAGTTTAATTTGTTGAGTTAATGGGGCCGTGGCTGTGGAGACCGTGAACGTTCACCAGAAAGTCGCAGAGGTGGCGACCGCTCACCGAAAAGGCGACGACGGTCAGTCTTCTTTCTAAAATATGTCTAAAAAATGGCTTTGTTTACAGCTGATTTAGGTCACCATCTCGCAAACGTAAAGCTTCTCCAGTAAGGCGGAGACGGTAATAGAGCTTTGTATTTTTTTTCATGAAAATTATTTAGATCTCGTTCACCAAAGCGTCATGCCGGTCCTAAACGGCGGAAACGGTTAGTTTAACCTGGCTTGCATTCAGTATTAATGATTTAGGTTGCTAACGCCAAAACGTGCTCGACGTGAAGAATCACCAGGAAAGGCAAAAGAAAATGAAGCTCCTCAAAAAGTATGCAAGAAAACTTTGTTGAGGTGAATACATTTTAGGAAAAGAAAGAGCCTTTTGATTTATTGTGTTCTCGCACTGGAGGCGCATACATCCCACCAGCGAAGCTGAAGTTGATGCAAGAACAAATCCAGGTAATGCATCAAATGATAACGTGGCCACAGAAAAAATTTAAGACAAATCGGGTGAGCAATTTGGACGATTGAATTGGGACCGTCTGAAGAAAAAGATCCACGGTCTCGTCAATAAAGTCAACGCTGGCAATCTTGTCGGAAATGTGCGAGAGCTTCTTCAAGAAAATATTATCCGTGGAAAGTTTGTTTTTAGCATTTTCCCAAGTTTAGGGGTTTGCTGACTCGATCGATAATTCAAGAACGAGCCTTTTCTCCAACATTTTCACATGTATACGCTGGTTTGGTTGGAGTGATTAATTCCAAGTCTCCGTTTATTGGTGAATTGAGACATTTGAGTATGTTTCACAGTTTTAGGCTTTAGCAATTATGTATGTAAACGACATTAAATTAAATTATGTGAACGACAAAATAACAACGGTGACTGTCAGTAAGTTTCTCGCACATTTGATCAAGCAACAAGTGGTATGCTGTTTTTCTTTGAATATGAATTGAATTGAATTCGATGCATATTTAGGCTCACGAGTTGCTTGCTCTTGAGATCATGATTTTGATGCTTAAAACACCAACGGAAGATTCAGTGGAAGTGCGTATTGCTTTTCTGAAAGAATGTGGCGCGAAACTGACAGAGGTTTGCTTTATTGAGAAATGATTTGTTAGGTTGCCCCGCGTGCCTTGGACCATGTTGCCTCAAGACTTCGAAACATTCTTGCTGAAGCACAATTGGATTCACGTAGTCGTTATATGATTGAAACTGCAATGGCAATTCGGAAAGATAAACTTGCGGTCAGTTTTCAGTTCTATTGCCTGGCAAAGTTTATTCCTTTAGAACTACCCAGCTTTAATTGATGAACTCGCTCTCTTCTCGGAAGCGGGCCAAATTACACATACCCTTTCCCTTGAAGATGCTACCGATCCTGAAAATATGCTTGGTGGGTGAACTAAAAAATTTAATTTGGGATTAACTTGGTTTTCAAACAAACTTTACAGACATTTTAAAATTGGATCCCGATTTTGAGAAAAATGAAGATGCCTGCAACGAGATCGGTGAACATTGGTGACGCCGGTGAAAGTAAAGAGGAATCAGAGGAAGAGGACGAGGATGAAGAAGGTGACGATGAGGCAGCTACAAACGGTAGACATTCAATTTTATCGATTTAAATTTTATAAAACTTCAGACTGCAATATTTAAATACTTATTTGAGCTCAACCTCAACAAATGGAAATCATTGACAACACTGAGCAAAATCTCGTTCCCTTCCGTCGCGAAGTTTACTTGACATCGCTCTACTATTAAAAGGCCGCTCACAAACTCCTCAAAATGGGTATCAGGCAGAGTTGGAGGTTGGGCTTATTGATAAAATATAAAACATTTTTGGCTCTCTCCAATTACTAGGTACTTTAACCGTGGAACCCGCTTTTGTTAAATTTTAAGGTAAGTAATAGAAAAGAGCCACATTTTTTTTTCATTTTAGCCGGAACTCATTGACATGCTCGTTGATTGTTGTGCACAGCAACGTACTTATGAAAGGTTCTAGGGGTTTTTCTACGAGCGTTTTTGTCGGCTGAAACGTGAATTTCAAGTTAGTTTCAAAAGTATATGACTAGTAGATGACCCCCTCAACTTCACATTAATCGGTCTTGGTGGACTGACGTCAGAAAGATTTGAGGAAGCTAATAAGTGTATAAATTTTGGGGTGGATCTTCGCGAGTTTTTGGAAAGAGGCGGAAAGAGGAAGAAATCTGACTCCGAATCAAGCTCTGAATCCTCTCCATCATCATGACGATGACAGCGACAGCGGCAGTGACTCTGATACTACTTCTTCAAGCTAGTCAGATTCGTATTCAAGTGATGATTAGTGATTTTTTTATACTTATACTTTTCTACTTTTTTATACAGTGCCGAAGCGAAGCGTGAAAACAGTCATCATCACCTTCTTTGAGTAAGTGTCCAGCCTAGACTTATCAGAACGATATAAAGGAAGCGCAGTTTTGTTAAGAATTCATCAAGAATGCTTCATGATTCCTCAAGATTGAAAGGCCAATGATTTTTTTAAACTTCCTTGGAAATGGAAAATGTTCTTGGAGCAAAGGAAAGCCACCGATCTCAACACAAATGTTTGTTTCTCCGAGAATTGGACAGAATCTGTATCGAAAGTTCTGGGGGAATCGATTGAAATCATTTGATAATCTCTTTCGAGGAGCACAACAAATACGGACGATTCGAGAATCAATTCCTATTCTCAACGAACACCATTACGGCTCATCTTTCCAAAAGAAATCATCACATTGAGCCGTTTCAAACCGAAGTGCCCTGTCATTTGTAAATCGGGCATTCCCCTCCTTTCTCTTTATTTTCCGTGGTAAGAAATCTCTATTTTGCTTGTTTATTTTTGTCTTTTCTCATCAATTCTGCCTCTTTAGTAGTTGTTTCCTTTAATTTTCACTTGTTCTCCGAGAAAATTCAGTCATTTTGTAGGCATCCAATCGTCCGTAACCGAAATGGACAATCTTTCGAATCTTCCTCGATGTCTTCAAAGCATCTCTTCTTTTTCCAAATCTCCAGAAATGCCTGAGATGACTGAAGAATTGCCTGAAAAGAGTGTCAAACGCATAGAAGAACCGGCCATCTCGTTGAAGAAAATCGCCCAACTCGAAGCCGATTTGTGGGTTTTTCGCCAAATCTTTGATTCTATCAAAAACAGTCTTTAATTTAATCGAAGAGTTTAGGGAAGAAATGAAAAAGGACAAAGAGACCGAGATGAGTCGATTGGCAGCAAATATGGTTCAGATCGAGGCGAATTTGAAAATCGCAAAGTTGGAGGCCGATTTGGTTGACGAAAGGGAAAGAAATCGAGAATTGGAAAGGAAAATCGCCGAGACGAAAAGGAAGAACGATGATCTCGAGGCACAATTGTACTAATTTTGTAACTGTCTTTTCTGATAAGCTCAATATAAAGTTAAAATGCGAATTTTTTTCAGAAGAACTCAAAACACGGAATTAAGGGAAGGAAAGGCCAAGATTGGAGAGCTCGACGAGAAAATCAACGCGTTGCTGAGCAAAAACTCTAGCCTCGAAACCCAAATGTGAGTTCATTTGGTATAGCTTGTTTACTGAGACTTGAGAAAACAGTTTTTTCATTACCAAAACACCCATTCCACTCAAGCCAATCAATTCCTCTCTAGACAATTTGAAAGCGAAAATAAAACGGCTGAAATCATGAAGTTGCAGGCAGATTTGTGAGTTTTTTTAAGAAAAGGGATTGAGTATTTGTTTACAAAGTTTGAAGTAAAGTCTTTCGAAGAAATTCAGAGATCGAACGTTGAATCTCTTGGATCCGGGTGGATGGTCGTATTTGGCAAAAACCGCTTCTTGGTACAAGGTTTGGTGGAGGTTGTGAACTAGGATTATCTTCATCTCAAGGCTTTTGATCAATGGAAAACATTTGATGAAGCCGTGGCATATTGTGCGAGTCAAAAGGGCCATTTGGTCACAATTCACAGTCAGGAAGAGAACGATTTTGTTCAGAAACTCGGTAAGAAATCGAAATGATTCGTTTCTGAAAATTTATGATTTTCGTAGAAATGTATGCTTTATAAACCAAAAACAACCGATTTATTTCAGCGAAAACTATTGGTTCGTTTGATCTGTTCTGGATCGAACTGAAGGTTGAATTTTTCTTATTGAAAGACATAAATAAATATATAGAAACTAATGATTCTTTCAGCCATTTCCGGAAGGCTTTTTGTGAAAAAATGATTCGTTTGACTGATAGTTCTTTGATAAAAATGTTGGTTTGAATTGGGAAACTAGAATAGTTTTAAAATGAAAAAAAATCGAAGTATCAACGGTGAAACATAAAAATTTCTTTATTCAGAGAAATCCGGACAAAGGAGATGCTTTTGAATGGACGGATGAAAGTTCGGTGGATTTCACGAATTGGATGGTGGGAGAGCCGGATTCGAACACCCACGCTGCGGTGAGATTTTCAACGTGAAATCATCAACATTTATAGTAATTTCCAATGCATAATTAATCCAAAAATATTTGGATCAATCTTAGGAGATTTATTTGTGTAAGATAAAGGAAAATGTTTTACCAAAGGATTTCCATCAGAAATGAATACATTTCAGCTTTGGGGCGGCGATGGGAAATGGGGAGCCTATCCTTCTACCAATCCGTATCGTTTTATCTGCAAAATGAGCTCTCAATTCTCATAAATGCTTTGTGTTCTTTACCGTGGACAAAAACCAATAAATCCCATTTTATTCAATCTTCTGAATAACAACTTCACATTATCTGAAAAACAACTGCACATTATCTTTTTCTTTATTTCTGAATTGTTTGTTCAAAATCTGATATAAAAGTTTTCCCAAAAACCCAGAATTCCGCCTAAAGCTGCAAGTATTTTGCTCTTGTCGCTCCTGAATAGACTATTAGATAAACCTGTTGAACATCAATGGACTTCAGCATGAGGAAACTGACAATTCTTCATGAAGGTCGCCCTTCTCGTCCCTCAACTCGTCGGTTTGTCTTTGATTTTTGTTCCTGAAGTTCTCAATAATTGGATTGATGCTTTTTTTCAAAGCACTGCTTGTTCTGTAGGCGGTCGCAAATCATTCAATTCGCCATTTGCCGCGTTGAGGAAATTGCCAAAGTCGCGACTCTGAAATGAAATTGAAAAGAGGCAGCTTCAACTGAAACGTTTTTCTAGTCCTGTAGAGTGCAGACTTTGGACCGAACCCTACTAGAATCCTGTAATGAATCCTGTAACTAAAACCGAATTCCAGACTCTCTGTCTACTGGCCTTTTGCCATCTCGTTGAGGGATTGCGGTAAACTTAGAATTACATAGATTGGGCTGACAATCAGTGATTTTTCAGTGGCGGTGGCCGAAGCGATGGGAAATGGGGAGCCTTTGAATGAATTTGAATGAGGAGAAATAGTCGGGGAAAGAGAAAGGCAAAAGATTTGGAGAAACTGAATGGGTTGATGAATAATAGGGATTCCGAGTCGGGCAAAAAACTGCCTGCTCCAATTTTCAACATGCAATTTTAACCGTGAAGAAATCGAGAAGATGAAAGCCTTTTTCAAGGATCCAGTGGGGAAATGAAAAAATCATTCTCAATCAACAGATTGAGAATGATTCAAGTGAAGGTGAAATCTTGTTGTTGCTAATCGCGAAGAGGAAAACAAAATTATTCTAGACCGACACCAATGAAATTGAACGTTCTTTGAACATTTTTTGGAAACAAACGCCAATTTTCAAGAAAAAACTCGATTCAAATCGTTTTCTTTACACTGTTCTCGATATCGGCTCCGATCAATCGTATTCATCGTATTCCGTGCTACAATTGACGGCTGAATCGATTCTTTCAGTGATTGACAGTGATTTTTAGACATTTTTTGAAAGGTTTATTCCAAATTGTGTAACTTTTACCAAATCAAATAACCCTTGGAATTCTAGCGCTTAAACTACTTTATATAAAATCTCCGAAAGCGATCTGCCAACTTCTCAATCTTCTTCTTGAACTTGATAAATTACCTCCGACTTTTAAAAATTGCCTGATTTGTGTAATGTTCGTTCACTATAAAGTAACTGTGATATAGTCGAATAAATTTATGATGGAAAAATTGAAGGTATTATAATTCTTTGCAGAAGATTCAACATTTCACCAAGGATGATCAGAAATTCGATCGTTCAAGTCATTTACCAATCGTTGCAACGAAATTCTTCTCGCAGCTTTTTCTTCGTCGGTGAGTGGACTGCGGCGGACGGGTCTGAATCAAAATTGTATCCTGTAAAATCAATTCCTTCTCAATTAAACATTTATTGTTTCGCAATTGATTATAAATCTAGAATTGAAGAGTTGAATCAGTTAAGAATCGCTTAAGAACTTAAGAATTTCCTTACTTAAATCACTGAAGAATTCAATCAGTCTGAGATTTACGCAATATTTCTTTAAGAAGCCACTTACCCCGCGAAACCAACAGAAATAAGTGCAAGAATGAAAATGAGCAAAATAAACCGCATTTCCGAACAACTGAATCTTAATCTGGAACTGAAATTTGATGAACCAAATCTTAAACGAAAGCTCTATTTATTCGATGAACTTTTTTCTCGAATGGTCTCACTCTCATAACCCCCAAAAAGAAGTTTTTAGAGATTTTGATTGATTAAACGTTTTCCAATCATTTGCTGTTCATCGAAAAGGACAAAAATCTTTATCAGCTCCGTTTATTGTCCGTTTTGTTTTGAAGAGGCCATTGAAAGAAGCAAAAGACGATTGGGGGTTCAAAATGATCGAATTTACTATTCCTGCAGAGGAACTGTAGCCGATGAATAATTTCTATTAGGTTTGAAAGAGAGTTTTCGGAAAAAGTTTGACTGAAATTTTTTAAAAACGAATCCACCAATTCAAGAACATTTTATTCTATTATTTCCAAGTCGACCCCAAGAAATTACTCATAAAAAAATGAGTGCAGCTTTCCCTTAAAACTTTTAGAGTTTTTTTGAAGAATTTTTATTTTTCAAGCTTAAATTCAGCTCACTTTCAGCTTACTTTTTGCACCACAAAATTCAGCCTACTCAGTTGTATGCTTTTAAAGGTATCTTTGATTGTTATCTGAAAAATTTAAGCTGTGAGGATTGCTCGTTTGTTTCAGGAGTTTTTGCTGACCCTAGGAGCCGAAATCCTTGGGATGAATCCAAAAATTCACAGCGACTCCCTGAGCACCCTTTTACAGGCGCTTGGAATCCCATTTTGACCAAGGGAGAACCCCCTATTGTGCTCAAAATGAGCCGGAATTGTGATGACCAATTCTGAAGCCGGGGTTGGTTTGAGAAGCGGGGGGGGGGGGGCATAGGGGAAGGGGGGCTGCTTGACGTCCAGCCACCTCCGACTCCAAGAAATTACTCGTAAAAAAATGAGTACAGCTTTCCCTTAAAATTTTAGAGATTTTTGAAGAATTATTATTTTCCAAGCTTAAATCCAGCTCCTTTTTGCACCAGAAAAACGATTCCTTATGAGTTAAGGCTAGCATAAATGAGAAATACGCTCTATTTTTTAAGCCAAAAATTTTTTACAGAGAAACTGTATTTCAAAAAATAATTTTTTTGTTTTATCTTCTCCGCACTGAGTTTGCTAAATTAGGTCATACTGAAAAGAAAAATCACACAACTTCCTAATAAAACTAACGTCAGATTCGAAAGAGGATCCGAAATTACATTTTCTTGCAAATTTTAAGCTCATTTGGTGGAGCCATTGACGAGAAACAGCTGTGACTCAGCATTGAGTCACGCTTGTTACCCGTTATTGACTGGATTTGATGCACTGGATCTAGTTTCTAGTTTTCTAGTTTTTTTTCTAGTTTTTTCTAGTTTCTGCTACACCAGATTTGGTGCACCTGTTGGCTCTGACATCAAATGTACTAGACCAGTACCAACAAATGTACTAGACCGGCTCTGACAACAAATGTACTGGACCAGTCGTCAGATCTAGATATCTAACAGTCATCTTTTGTGTTCTTTTGTGTTTTTTTCTAACAGTTTTTTTGTACGATTTGGACGGAGGGTCATCGTTTAAAATAGTTTTTAATGAACTCTAAATTTTCGAGTCATGTGGTCCTATTTACCTACTTTTTGCAACAGCCGCTTTAGAGGCGTTGAAAAATAGAACGACATGTCTATTAGGTTGGCGGGCAAATAATACGAATTTTTATTTCAAAAAGCAATAAACAAAGAGGATTAAGATAAAAGGTATGCTCCATTATTATTTAGGAAATCATGCCATCTTTTGCTCAACTCAATAATTCCATCTTCAAAGAACTGGAGACTTTTTGACGAAGAATAGTTGGTGTTCGGATGATGTGTGTGGATGTATCAGAAGTATTTCACAACTCATATAATGCAAATCTCCGTGTGTTTTTAAATTGGTCTTTCCCCTCCCTTTATTTTCCGTGATAAGAAGTCCGTATTTTGCTTCGCAACAAATTTCTTCTTTGATTTTGTCTTTTCTCATCAATTTTGCTTATTTAGTTATTTAGTCTTTTCTTTAATTTTCACTAGTTCTTCGGTAAAATTCAGTCATTTTGTAGGCATCCAATCGTCTAGCAACCGAAATGGACAATCTCTCGAATCTTCCTCCTCCATGTCTTCAGAGCATCTCTTCTTTTTCCCAATCCCCAGAAATGCCCGAAATGACTGAAGAATCGCCTGAAAAGAGTGTCAAATGCATAGAAGAACCGGCCATCTCGTTGAAGAAAATTGTCTCATTCGTTCTTCCCATTTCCCCGAATTCCAAACAAATCAACCAATTGATCGGAATGGGTGTGTTGGCCGGCGGTCTATTCATCACGATTCACCTCCTTTTCCATCAAATTTCTTCGTCGATTCAACAAAGTGATCAATTGGATCAATTCACGTATTCTTTTCCCTTCAAATAGCTATGTTTTCAACCGAGCCAATCAATAGAGCTAATTTAATAGAATAAACCAGAACTAGGCTCTGGTGAAATCAACAGATATTGAAGATTTTAGGTTATCTTTTTCAGTCAATGTGAACAAAAGGAGAGAAGTGATGAACTCATGAAGATCAACTCGAAAATGTCGCAAAGTGATCGATCGACGAAGATCGGTGCTGAATTGAAAGAGATGTGAGTCTTGAGATCCCTTGAAGAAATGTCTCAGGATGAGACACTTTTAGAGATTCCAAAGTCGCCGAAATGTCAAGGACCATCTCCACGAAAATGGCCAAAATTGAGGCGGATTTAATGGGGAAAAACGCGAAGTTGGAGGCTGATTTGGTTGAAGAAAGAGCGATAAATCGAGAATTGGAAAGGAAAATCGCCGAGACGAAAAGGAAGAACGAAGATCTCGAAGCACAATTGTACTAATTTTGTAATTTCCTTTTAGACAGGCTCAACATAAAATATCGATAAAAATCGGACTTTTTTAGAAGCGACTCAAATACGGAAGTGAGAGACGGAAAAGCCAAGATTGGAGAGCTCGAAGAGAAAATCACCGCATTGCAGAACAAGAACTCTGACCTCGAAACCCAAATAAGAGCTGATTTGGTATCTCTTGCCGACTGAGACTTGAGAAAACAGTTTTTTCACTCCCAAAACACCCATTTCACTCAATCCAATTAATTCCTCTCTAGACAATTTGAAAGAATCAAAACGGCCAAAATGGTGAAGTTGCGGGCAGATTTATGCGTT